ATATATCAAAATTCTGAACTTAAATCATATAGGCAAAGTCACTCTTGCGATGTATGATAACATTCATTGGTTTGGGGTGGGGAGACATTCTGTGTACTATACCTATAAATATTTCTTTTCTATAAAGGATATCAATGACATTTCCTTGAAATTGTGCTGCATATGGCACCTTCTGGTACACAATTTCCAATAAAATCAGAATAGTAACCCTTGAGGTTGTGAATTGTACCTACCCTGCCTTGTCTTGTGCTGATTCTTCTAAAATGGCACAGTAGGTCCTCAATTTTTCTTCCAAATCTCTTCTATTATTACTCTGTATTGCAGAGCTATCCTCCTGCTTATAACTAATCAGAACTTCTGATAAGCTTTAAAGTAATCAGTGCTATGGCACCAAGTTAATTTATCCAAACCAGAAAAAATAAACTTGTTGACCCAATTACTTTGTATAAGCATTATGAAATAAATAATTAGTAAGGTATTTTGAAAGAAATACAATAATTAAGATTTTTCATTGCTTATCTATCATTATATGCAATAATTTATTAATGAATAGATGGACACTGCTTAATGCAACACTAATGTATTGAACATGAAATTACTTGCAATGTTGCTAAACATTTTACAATTCTATATTCTTAAGTCCATTTAAAAATTAGGAATATTTTCTTCAGATTCAATTTGTTATCATATTTTATCTATTAAGATAAAATTTCTTGAGTCATTCTTGAATGCTAAAATTATATTCATTGAGTTTAAATGTAAGAATGAAAATTCTATATAGGAGATTTGTTAAAAAAAAATTTTAATGGGGAAAGAGCCAATCAATACAAAGGTACAAAAATACCCCATGAGAAAAGCAAAACTATACACATCAGTATGCTAAACATGCTTTGCTTAGGCAATGCTCAATGATTGGCTATTAACCATACTTAATCTACAGAAAGAACTTTGAACCTATAGTATTTTCATTAGTATTCAATCACTTTGGCTCAATGTAGTGTATTTAACTTTAGAATTATGTTGACTGTTTCCTATGCTGGAAATAAGTTTTTAAAAAATATTTATTTCTTAGTTTCAGATGGACACATATCTTTATTTTTATGTGGTGCTGAGGATTGAACCCAGGGCCTCATGCATGCTAAGTGAGCACTCTACCACTGAGCCACAACCCCAGCCCAGAAATAAGTTTTACTGACATAATTCCTCTGGCATAAATCAAGACCTTTTAAAACAAACATTGAATACTAAACACAGAATTTAGAAACTTTTATTAATATCTACTTATTTTATTTCAAACTAGTTTATTCCTCTCTGGTGGTACAAAGGAACAAAGAAATGACATTCGTGACCTAATTATGATAAAAATTATACACTACTGGAAAAGTGGGTCAGTATTTATCATTTACAAATATAGGTCAGGTTAGCATTTTCCAATTAGTTTCTACTTGTAAACTCATATATGCCACTACTGTCTCTTAAAATGGAAAACAGGAAAATGCAGGATAAACATTAGCCTCAAATGAATGTACATAACCCATTTCCTTAGCACCAGTGGCTACTAAACATTTGCATTATTTAATATATAAAATTTGTCCTTGGACAAATTTACATTTTTACTTATCCGTTTCATTTGTAAAGTGAGGGTGATGGGTTAAATGTTCATTTGACCTTGCCAGTCTTGTTTCAAAAAGCTATACCCTTCTCTCCTCTATTTAGGAGTGTACTTAAAAACCTCCCATGGTTATGAGTAAAGCTGCAGTCTGTTGTAGATATACCTCAACTGTTCTCCACCAGCAAAACCTGTGGCCATTTATAGTTATCTTCATTGAAAGATATCTACAGTGAATTTACCATTTGTGCTGCTCAGTTTTGAAGGTATTTTATATACAACTCAGATTTAAATATAAGACTATGAGGATGTCAAAAATTTTTAAGAAAAGAAATATGCAAAACTATGAAGAACAGAGTGAAAAAGAATGAATAAATGCTTCATATGAGTCTGATAAAATGATGTGACCAAAGGTTATTCTGAAGGACCAAGAGTAAATCATGCTATAAGGGACCATTTGATCATGCAATCAGAAAAGACAAAGACTGATAAAATGGTAATGCTTCTGAAAACTGGAGGTCAGACATGGTATAAACCCTGGCTGCTCATCATAATCATCTAGGGCTTTTAAAAACAATGTCCCGAAATATGTTCTTATCTGGTCTGGAATCTGTTGTTTCTCAAAACTCCCAGAAAGTTTTTACTTGCAAAGTTAAAAGCACTTTGGTAAGAGGACTTACATTCCATCAGATTTCTATTAGTCTAATGCTGTGGTTCTCACAGTGAAGTTCATATAACTCTTTCAAGGGTTTATGAGGTCAAAACTATTTTAATAATACATGAAGACATTTGCCTTTCTACTGTGATGCCACATTGATAGATGATGCAAAAGGAATAGTGGCAACAGAATTATTACCTTAATCCCCCCACCCTATTCAAACCTTGCTTTTTCTTTTAAATTTTTAGCAGAATTTATGGCATTATTTTGTAGTACACACAGCACAGGTTTGGTGACAAAAGGAGTCATTAAGTTTAAATCTTAGCTTCACTATTTATATGTGCTGTGATCTTAGACAAGAGACTTAACATTTTTGTCTATTTCTTTTTTCATTTATAAAATATGGCCAGTAGTACTTTTAATATAAAACTGCACAAGCTTCTTTTTTCTTAAAAGAATTAAAATCTTTGTATGAGTTTTTTGTTTTAAATTTTAACAGTTTAAGGGAATATCCAGCAGGTTATCCCTGTCTCAGTTCAAGTTCCTCTTCAATATTACCAGTTACCTGTGTATCCTTTCACAGCCATTCTACACATATAAGAATACCTATACTTGGTCCTCTGTATCTGTGGGTTCAAAATCTATGGATTCAACCAAGCATAGACTGAAAATACTGGGAAAAAATTGCACATCTGTACTGAACATGTTTCTTGTCATCATTCCCTAAACAATACAGTATAACAACTATTTACCCAGCATTTATCGTATTGGGTACTAAAAGTAATACACAGAGAATTTAAAGTACATGGGAGGATGTGTCTATACTGTATGCAAATATACCATTTTATATAGGGGGTGAGTATCTGAGATTTTAGTATACTTGGGAGGGTCCTAGAATCAATCTCCCATGGGTGATAAGGGACAATTGTATGTTTGAGAGCAACAAATCACTAGACTTATTTTACCCACAATTCTATTGTTTCTATTCATAGCATGAAGATTTCCAGCACCTACATATTAAAATGTTTGGGTTCTGACTTCACTATTTGCTAGGTGCATGATTCCAGGTACTTTCTTACACCTCATTTCCTTTATCCATAAACATCTACTCAGAAGTTGTGAGCGTAAAATAAAACAATGCATATAAATTATTTTTTTGAATAGAACCTAGTACATAGTAAGTACTAATGAATGAAAGCTATTATTGTTATTTTTGGAAAAGGAAGCACAGTAACATAGTTTACTGCTGATCTTAAAACTATATCTTGCTTTTAGCTGGTGTATTGATAGATATTGAAAAGAAGGATGTATCTTTTCCTTGTATTATGAGTAAAACAATTCAATTTCAGCTTCTAGGAAGATATGCAAGAATGAGTCTTCCTAATTCTTTTAAATTGAAAAATGAACACAGTTTTTGCTAAATTAAATAAGTTAAATGATACCCTTAAAAGCAAATGTATTGTATATTGTAACAGGTGGGAAAAGAAGCTGAAAGAGAAAATAAAATCCATACTCAGAGAAGGATTAATGTACTAATAAACTTATCTCCTTTAATAGAGAAATGTGACTTATACCTAATTATATTCAAACTTGCCAGCAGAATGTAGGTGAGATTAATAATTATTTTTCAACTATAAGTCTGAGATTTGTGTGGTATATGGGATTCTGCAGAAACTTCTAAGAACACAAACTCAGTAATATTTTGCCATGGAAATTCTTAGCTTTTGGAAGGGTCATGGTTGCTTTTGACTCTATAAAAACAGGCATATATCGGGTTGGCATGCTCATAAAGGCTATATTTGGCACACTGATTTCATAACTTCACCATGAGGGCTTTGTGGAAGGCTGTTGGCATTTACCATAACAAAAGTAAAATGCTTTCAGATATAGCTTCAGAGATTTACATTACATCCATCTCCTGGTGGCCCTGGCTTTACTTCTTTCCTTTGCAAATATCTTTTGCGATTATCCTTACTTAATAGTAACACTTTTCTATGAGACCTAAATTACCAAAGGAATCTACAATAAAACAAAATAAAATAAAATACATTTAAGAAAGTAATGCAGGCAGGGATGGAATCTGAGGTCAAACATAACTATGAGAAGTACATTAAGCTATTAGACGAGAAACCAACTTTTGCTCTGAACTTCAATTATTAAAACCTACAGTTTGGAATGAAGCATCTTTAGGATTGTGGAAAATAATTTGGAAAGGGTACAAAAGGCCACTGATTCAACAGGTGAAATTAAAGATGTTGAGTCTGATGTAGAAAAAACAAACAAACAAAAGAACAAATAAAACCCGGGTCAAGCACGTAGGGAGAGGTAAGGAAACACAAAAATGAATTAAAAAAAAAAAAAAAAAAAAAAAAGCAGATGATAGAGAAGCTCTAAAATTCCAAAGAGTCAATGTCCACAGATAACCTATATAACCGACCGGTTAAGTCAAAACAGCGCATTCTCCCTTAACAAGGAAGGGCGAGCCTCAGCTAGAAGGGCTGGGATCCGAGACTACGGGGTCCTCTTTGGAAGGTCAGCCCGGATTCTCCCTGGTTGGACGTGCAGAGGCACAGGGCTCCGTGGCCTGTGCATCCTCCGAGTCCCGGGAAAATCAAGTTAGTGACAGAACACTTTGGCTCGTGCACCCAGGGCGCCCGCACAAACCCGCTGCCCTAGTGCGGGGAACAGACCCTGCTCTAAGCTAAGTCGCAACCCGGTAGCCCCGATTCTTACCATAGTGAGGCCAGCGATGCCCCAGCCACATCACCCTTCCGGGCCCAAGGCGGAAGAGGCGTGCACGCCCCACATGCCCTTCTTGATCTCTTCAGCAGTCCGGTTGGGCCTATCACGGCACCTCCTCCGCATCTTCTCGAGACCGACGCTAGGATAGGCTTTTCCTAACCGGAAAAGGCGGGACTTAGATACATCATGAGGCGCTGCGGAAGTACCTGAGACTCTCATTGGCTGTGGGGCTTATCCGTGGGCGCCGGCGTTTCTTAGAAGACCGGAAGTGGAGTCACTCAGAGCTAGCGTCCGGAAGTGGCCGCGGTCTTTTGAATAATAAGTAATATTCTGTTCTGTTTACCTTTTTTTCTTTCCTACTTTTTTCTTTAATTTTTAAAAATTCTCTTACATTTACCTCTAAAAGTACACACTGCGCGAACCTTCCCCTCCTCGAATCTTCTTCATTGTGTGAGCTCCTGTACCTAATGCTTGTGGGTTTTGGGGGATCCCAGGGCTCCAGGCCTCATCTACAAGGCTTGCCGCACTGGAGTCCCCTTTTAATTTTTTCCCTTTTTCTCTGAGTGATTTTTAGAAATGCAATGTGCTTTTGAAATGCTCTGTATTAGTTGTGGGATGAGGGGGGCACTTGAATCCGGATGATTGTTTTCAGTAGGTTTATATTTTCCCCAACACTTGCCTTTTTTGTTTCCAAACCTCTTTTTTTTTTTTTTTTGTAGACTGTCAGTAGGTCCTAAATGTTCTTCGGAAAGAACTTTTCTGTAATAACCTTGGTAAGGAATTGCACTTTTCTGAGTGCAGTAATTGATAGGTATTGTAGAGAAATGGTAAACCAGCAAAATAAATTACATATCAACTTTGTTTTTATCAATAATGGTGTTATTGAGTTTCCTCAGATTTTGATAATTCCATTAGATGAGGCTTTATTTTGCCCACATTTGTTTTCTGTGTTTTATAGATGGAGAAGCAGGTACTTTGATATGTTCAAGTTTACATTGTTCTTGGAATTTTCCAGAAGTCAGGGGCAGAGTTTTTCCACTCTTTATCCCCTTAGTGTATCAGAAAATTATTGCAATTCTTAGTTTCCAAATGCGTGGTTAATTTTTTTTTTTAGACACCATAGGGGTCTTTTCAGAATGTTATCAATTCTTTGTGTACTCGGTGAATATGAAGAGTAAAGAAGCTCCTGAGGTGTCAGCCAAACTATAAAAAGATTCTTTAGTATTTAGGGCAACACCGTGTTTAGAAGATTTGCCTTTTTGTTGTATGTGATTACTTCTTTGATAACTATTGTTTGCTACTATACACAAAGGGTTTTTTTTGAGGGGGGGTTTAAACCACGACTAATTTGATTTTAAAATCCATTATACGGAATAGTCAAAAGAATTGGTAAAATATTCAAATTAATAGACATTTACTGAATATCTTCTTTATTCATAGTACCATGAGATTGCAGCAGAAAAATAAAGATGGTCTGTTCCTTTAAAGAATTTACTGGGGATGTTGAAGATGGGAATAAGAAATTATAAAAATACATGGTACCTTCCACTAATCAAAAGCAAGTCTTGGGGCTAGGATTGTGGCTCAGTGATAGAGTGCTTGCCTAGCATGTGTGAGGCACTGGGTTCATCTTCAGCACCACATAAAAATAAATTAATAAACTAAAGGTATGGTGTCTTCCTACAACTAAACATATTTTTTAAAAAAGCAAGTCTTAATGCTTGCACTTGGAATTGCCTTATATTATGACTTACCATTCAAACTAAACAAAGTTAGTTTATTTATGGAAATTATGTTGTGCAACTGATCAAGTTTGGTTTCCAGAATAGTAAATGTGTCTGTAGATGTTATAACTGCTTTTGCTTTCATGTGAAGATGATCATCTTGATCATTTGGCACTTCAGAGTGATAATTCTGTATGAAGCTATATGCTTCAGGCTTCCTGTAAAGAGCACCAGGAAGCTGAAGTTGTTGGAGATTGCAATTGATTTGTTATATTTATGGGTTACTATTAATTTTAGGCAATAGATTCTTATGTACCTCAGCTTCAAAATAATAGAGAACATCATTTTCCAGTTATCCACAGAGGATCAGAATTGCCAGTGGATGAAACTGATCATGTGTATGTTTATCGTATTCATGTAAGAATACGACAAAGTTAATCTGATGTGAGGATATCTTTTGGGAGGTGGGAATTGAGCTGCATGATCATTAAGTTAATCGACACCCTGCTTTTGGTTTCCATTATTGAAAATTATTTTAAGTACTAGCTTGTATCAGTTGCCCCAAACTAATCTTTTGGTAGTACTGCTATGGATTCTATTTTCAAATCATCTTGGATCATTTTCTTACTATGAAGAAAATTTGACTTTGTCATTCCCCTGCTCAAAAATCCTCTCTCCTGCATCTCGAAGAGTATATTCAACTTTGGTTTCATGGTTTCCCCAGGATTGTATGTAAAAATAGTATATATTTTTATTTTTCTATGGAGATGGTCACATGCTTCCTCAGAGTTGTGAGGATTAAATGAGTTAATACAAATGAAATAATCTAGCCAAACATTTGTCAAACAGTAAACACACAGGACATTTTGGTTATCCTTTTATTTATTATTTTTATACTACTGAGGTTGGAACTCTGGATCTTGCTCATGCTAGGGATGCTCTCTACCTCTGAGCTCCATGCCCAGGCCTAAGTGTTAGTTATTATTGTGTGAGTGGCTTAATTCTTGACAGAAATAAAAGCCCCCTGAATTGAGGAATAAGTTTGGAAGATGATTGATTTGCATTATTATTATGTTAGGCACATAATAAAAGGGCTTTGAATTAAATTATTATAGCTTTTATACCACTAGACCACTTTGTTAACCTTTTTTCTTTTTATTTTGTATCTTGTATTTTTTAAAATATTTTTAGTCGTAGATAGACACAATACCTTTATTTAATTATTTATTTATGTGATGCTGAGGTTCAAATCCAGTATCTCACACATGCTAGGTGAGTGTTCTAACAATGAACCATAATCACAGTCCTTGTATCTTGTATTAATAGTAGTGTTAATACTTTCCTTTTACATTAGTTATCTTTTTTCTTTCTTAATATTCACATATATTAAGTGACAGTGATTTGTTTGCTTTCTCTGATCCTCCAGTAGACTCCATAGCCTAAGTTGAGGTTCTTTGTGTTGGAGTATTTGTCTTTGAGTCCCACAACCCCTTTTCATCCTTTCCCCCCATGGCTTTTGGATTACCACCTGTAAAAATGCCTATAAAAGTTTTGTTTTTTTCTGAACCCATTTTTTTTTTTTTTAACCTTAAGAAATGCTTTTTTTTGGGAGGGGCTGGGGTTGTAGCTCAGTGGTTCAGTGCTTGCCTTGCATGCGTGAGTCACTGAGTTCAATCCTCAGCACCACATTAAAAATAAATAAATAAATAAAAACAAAGATATTGTGTCCATCTACAACTAGAAAAAATAATTAAACAAAAAGAAATGCTGTTTTTGCCTTGCAAGGCTTGCTGAGGTACAATTGTAGTTCAGGCTAGTTGGAGGTTAAGGCAGGAGGATCCCAAGTTGCTTAGCAATACCCTATCTCAAAATTAAATAGAAAAAAAAGATAGGTATGTAGCTTAGTGCTGGAGCACTTGCCTGATATGCAGGAAGCCCTGGGTTCAATTCCTAGTAATAAGAAGGGTGAAGCGGAAGATATGCTTCTTTTATTATCTTTCTATTTTCTACACATTTGTTTGATCTTTTCTATAACAAAAATTCTTGAAAGCGTTCTTTATGCTCCATGTCCCAATTTCTCTTTTTCTTTTCTTTTCTTAAAGCTCACTCTTACATGGCTATTTCTTCTATGCTGCCACAAGATTCTCTTATTAGTGTCACCAGTGATCTGGGTATTGGTCATTTTCGGTCATCACTATAATTGACTTGTCAGTAACTTTGGACACAGTTTATTGCTCCTCCATGATATGCTTACTTTGCTTGATTTCCAGGACCATATTTCTTTCTTTTTTTTTTTTTCCTACCTCTCTGGTTGCTCTTTCTGTCTGCTATGCTGAATTTTCTATTTGTCCAGACATTTTATGTTGAAGTATTCTGGAGCTCAATCTTTGGTTCCTTTCTTTTCCTCTTTCCTTCCTTGTCATAATGATATCAAGTATTTTGACTTAATCATCTGTTTATCCGAGGTTTCCATATTCATATCCTTAGTTTCTTCTCTTTCTGAACTCTAGAATTGTATATCCAGTCCAGTTGTCTACCTCTGCATCACCATTTGTATATTTATAAGATTTTAGATGTCCCAAATGAACTCTTCTCTCCAAATTTGTCCTCTTTCTGACTTCAGTTGATGACATGCCTATACAATCAGTTGCTCTGAAGTTATCCTTAACGCCTTTCTTTTATATTCTATCAAATTCCATCTGCAAATTTTTTGGCTTCCTTTACAAAATATATCATGAATTCAACAGTTTACTACTATTGCAGTCATTAGTGCCCTGATCATCTTGAGCTTGAACTTCTGTCATTAGCAACTAACATTTCTTTCTTGGGTTATAGTAATGCTGCTTTATTCAGTCATACAGGTTATTCTCATAGACTAGCCAGAATGATACTTTTTACATATGTTAAAAATTGCATTAAGGTATAGGACTCTAAAGATAATGTGTTACCCTAGATTAACAGAAAAAGAACATTAATGAAAAAACTCTTGAAATCCAAATAAAGTCTGGAGTATAGTTAATAGCAATGTATCAGTGTTTTCTGGTTTTGATTTATTTACCATGGTAATATAAGCAGGTACAATTAGGGAAATTGGATGAGAGGTACATGGGAAGTCTGTAACTTTGCTGTAAATTCAGAATGATCCCCAAATAAAGTTTATTTTTTAAAAAAGAAGGTAACTTTACTTCTTTGTCTAAAAATCTTAATAAGTTCTGGTTTGACCAATGGTAAGAGCCAACTTCTGTATATTGGTCTACAGGAACACATGATCTGATCTCTACTCTCATGTCTTTGAATTTGCTCCCTCCATTACTTTTTCCTAACCATACTGGCCACCCTTTTTCTTAAATGCACTAGGCCTACTTCTATT